TCACAGTATCAATACATTTGTTTTGCACTTTAGTAGGGAAAACCACAGCTAGAGTGAAAAGCCTGCACATGCTGTTAAACATCTGAATTTGATTTATTGGCAATGTAGACTGAAATGAGGTTTGCTCAGCAGGAGAATGAGGATGATGCTGTAGTGTAAATTATTTGAGAAACATTAGGCTCTCTTTTCAGCATAAAGTGGAATCACAGATTATGATATAAAATATTTGTTTAGAGACAGTGTTTGACTTTTTTTTATAATTCACTTTTACTTATTCTATGAGTTATTCTACACCCAATATTTGTGTCAGTCTGGACAATCAGTTAAGCTCATAAACAGTCATTGTCATGGAGCTAGATAAAAATGCACTGGGAGTTTATCAGTTAATGGACAGGCCAATTGAGCCCATCCTCATTGTCACAGCTCTGCTGCTTCAGTAAGCCTCTGCCATGTTAGTTTTTCTCTCCTCAGCCACTGAATGGCAGCCATATCTAATTGGCCCATCTAATTTGCTGCTCCACTAGTGTGTGTTTGTGTGTGTGTGTGTATAGAAACGTTGTGGAATATCTGTGTGCGCACATGCACCATAGAAACCATCTGTTCACAGTGAGCTAGCATGAGTCACAGACCAGATCTGAGCCATGGCATCTGGGGTATGGTATCCACTCACCTCCCTGCGCCAATCCCTCTTTGCTTCTCTCTTTCCGCTCTTTTTTCTTCCACATTTTGCCTTCCTCCCTCCCCTCTTCTCATTTTGACTCACTGAATTTGCTTTTATTGCTGCACCTCTCCTCAGATGTCAGCTCCGTTTTCCCTTTCATTCATTTGATTCCCACCATTATTTCATTATCACCTACAGAGAGGACGGATAGAGGTGATAATACAAAGTTTGCTTTGGCAATTGAGTTTCCATCATGGCGACAGTGTGGCTCAAAGGTCCAGGCTTCACCAACCTCCTCCTGCTGGATTCTCCTCTCAGCTATGTAATGGAGTCTGTCAATCACAGTGGAATTTACATCGTATCTTACATGCATGGATGCTGTCTCTCTAAAGCACATACACATACACACATGCCTGAAACACCTTAGGGGACGTCAGCGACTGGGCTAAAGGGAGGATTGGGTTAATGGCTGATCAATGTCATATAGATAAACCAATAGGCCCCCAGATCCTAGATAAACACACATACTTGCATGCATGCTTATATGCAAACAGGCAATTAGAATCAATCAAGGCCGTACCAGTTTAGCTCAATGTCACCTTGGTTTACCTTCGTGTGAGGGTGTGTGAGTAATCGTATGTTTCCATTTTAGACTCTGTATCTGTGATTTGTTCCACTCTAAATGATGTACAACATTTCTCGAAGGCTAGTTGTTTTAACTTCACAATAAAAACCTCCAGCAATATTAGAGGGTACACCCAATATACAAAGTGTGTCCTTCCTTAGCTCTAGTGAAGATAGTTTTAGTTTTAGATAGTCTTTATCAGTTTTTTCTGTGCATCCCAATACAGTGCCACTGAATGTAATTTTGCTTGTGGTGTTCACAGCATTGAAAATCAACAGAACAAGCTGTCAACAGATTTTATTTGAACTACTTTCTCTACTAGAGAAAGAAAGCATTGACACCATCTTCAGTGGATTTTCCAGAGTAACCAAGACATTGTTTCTGAGAAGAGATTATGCTGTTGATTTTTTTAATGTAATTTCCCAAAGCTGTGAGCACCACAAACAAAATTCCATTCAATGGTGAAATCTCAGAGATTGAAAGGAAACCACGGCTAAGAGCGTGGCTTACAAGGAGTGAATGAAAAAAATATGTTTTCAGTGTTTCATTTGGGTGACCCAACCCTTTAACATTGTGATTATGAACTAATACCTGTGCATTTGCATATTCTCCTTAAGCCAAGTTTTCTTTTTTGTTTCTCCAGTCTCTTCTCCAGATACACACAATTGCACATGCACACATGTACACACATCTGCACATTACACATTCATCAGAGCAGGTTGTAGAGCTACGACAGTGGGGAGTTTAAACTCTAACCCACTTTACTGGCGCGCAGCAGTCCTTTCCTCCCCATTGCTCTATTCCTTAATGATTTCTCCTAGCCGTATCACTCAGAGTCCTAATAGAGTCCGCTTTGGTTTTCTGATCAATGGGGAAAACGAGCAACTGAGCCTGGTCTTTCTTCTCTCCGTTACAGAAGGAGGTAGTGGGCCGCAATGGCTCCCCCAACATTTTTGATGGAAGGATGTGTAAGAACTCATCTGCCAATCTGTCTGTTGGGAAAATCAGGTATTGCAAACAATCACCACATGCACACTTTCTGTAATTCCCATGTGCATGCATGCACAAATGTACATAGATTAAACTTTGGAAAATATAAACTGAAGATTGTTTACCAACTCTCATGACTGCTACTTAACTTTTCTGTCCCCATTGGCATTTCACCATCTTGCTGTGAATCACAACATCAGTCTACAAATAAGTTTGCGCAGTCACCCTAATATTTCATATTCTGCCTTGGGCTACATACAGATTTAAAAATGCAATTATTTTTGGATAAAATGGACAACATCTAAAATTCAAATCAGGGAAGGGCTTAACTGTGAATGAAATGTCACCCTATTTTTTTCAGCTTTTTTGAATTGCCCCTAGGACAACCCCCCACCCTCGCACACACCTTATTTCATGACTAAAAAGTGTCAGTGTCTCAAAGAGGTCAGACAACATTGGTTAAAGCTTGACAAGTACTCACATACTGGTAGAGACAGAGTGGGATCTGCAGTCAAGCCCAGTTTATTCTGGAAGGTTCAAATGCAGTGGAGAGTTCAAATGCCTCACAGCTAAAGGTCACATGCACCACACAGAGTCAAAAGTGGAGGTAAATGTTTCTTCCCTCCTGCCTCTTTCACTGTCTCACTTTCAAACACTCACACACACACACACACACACACTCACAAAAAATGAACATCAAAGGGCCTTAATCTTTTGCCTCTCATGTCTATCATCTGTGACTCCATTTTGGTCTCACCGTGCTTTGAGCAGCAGCAGTTCACCAGCAGGAAGAGGAACATTGTGCTGCAGGCACAACTTTTAAAACTTCTAGTCTTGTGCTGGAGAGTGTTCCTGTGTTTTGTGAGTATGTGTTGGAGTGAATCTGCACATCAATATTGGCAGCTGCTTAAATAGATAATATACTAACAAGCAAGACATCAGGTCACTGTTATATTGTGTGTATCATAGCGGATGCACTTGATACAGTAACGTAAAGTCACATTAGGTCTGATGTACGTTGCTGAGAATGAACTCATTTCATTGATATATTATGTTGATATTTGCAATGTAATTTATTTGGAAAAGTAGCTTGGAATGAAGCCATTATCTAGAGGAAAAGGGGATGGGTAAATTCAATACTGTTGATTGTGCTGCACTGGTCTCTATCAACAAACTAAAATAGAAATAGAAAAATCAAAATATATCTATCCATCCATCCATTCATCCATCCATTGTCAACCGCTCATCCTGCGCACAGGGTCACAGGGGGCTGGAGCCAATCCCAGCGAAAGGTGGGGTACACCCTGGACAGGTCGTGTCTGGGGCTTCATGAAACACACATGACATGACAAGCTTCTCAAAAATGAAAACTTCCACATTCATGCCACTCTTTTTTAGAGACCCAAGGGTGTCCTCTTCTCCGTGTTCCACAGTAGCTGTCAGGGTGCATCCCCAACATTACTGCACAGTTTGTATTCATTTTCAACCAATGGGAGACAGAAAAGAAGGACAGAAAAAAGTACAAGTACAAACAGGGAGAATGAGGGAAAGGAGCAATGACATAACAGGGGGTCTGACGTGTGCGAGAGTGGAGGTGCTTACGTCAACTGTAACTGGGAGAGGAAGAACAAGCATTCCCTATGTAGGTCACATTAAAAACACATGCAGCTACCAGAAATCCAGCCAACTAACCAACCAGCCTGCCAAGCAGTATTGAAATCACAACTGTGAGTGCACCTCCCGTTCACTGCAAAAGGAAAAGTTACCATACTGGTGTCTCTGCTAATGCTGACTGAATCTGCAGCACAGAGCCTGTTACTGTTACTGATGAGTGGAATAGCATCATGTGCTCTGTTATGTTTGCATACATTCAAACGAGACAAAAAAGTTAGCTACAAGCTCAGCTGTCAAATGGGGATGTTTTGTGTTTTGTTCGGTATATGAATCAGTTAATTATCACTTTTACAGTACATTGTAGAAATTCATATTCTTGTCTATCACATCAACATCACTCTATGTTATCACCCAAAACTCTATCTGCATCTTAATAATCATACTAGATTCTCATCCAAATTAAGCAATTAGTAACAATGTCACAATGTTCCAACCGCTAGTCTAAATGATAATGATTTTAATTGACAAATATTATGGCCCCTATTTGGGTGTGTGGCACATTCACAAATTACTGATTGAACACAGTGAAAATGAATTGCAGTCATAATACCCAACTATTAACATTAAGACATGTACTGGCAATATCTATTACTTGAAACATCCCTTATATTGTGTCCTCATGTGTCATAGAAAATGTGCTTTGCCAAACTGCAGCTCTACAGTTGTTACTGACCTGGAGCTTGTGTACGAGTTTGAGGGGTGAATAAATTGTATGCAGGGTGGAGCTCAGGAAGAGAAACCAAACTGTAACATAATGAATGTGGGAGGATGCTGTTTATGCAAACTAAATTCATGAGAGGAACACATGGAAGAATGGGGTTAAAGATAGTATGGTGATGATTATCATGTACTTATGATGTAGTGATACAGTGGGTGTTTATGACAGTACCATTAGGGATTAACAAAGAGATAGCGGTGCATTTAAAAAAAAATGTATTAAGTAATAAAGAGAGATAAAGAGCATATGCTGGAAAATATGAATGTACAGTAAGAATCAAATCTCACCAATTGCAGCACAGGTGTCAACAGATTTGTAAAGAGTGGACTCACGGTGAGCTGTCCTGCAGGGGTCACTCTGGGTGCTGTCAGCAGAGTGGGCCGAGGAGACAGAGGACACGCTGGAGCTCCGGACGAAGCCAAAGGCTGCCAGGCGGCCTGCAGGGAGACGGCTGGAGCTGAAGCCCGGGGGTCGCAGTCCTGACTGGCTGGCTTTTGGAAGCAGAGACCTAGAGGCCGCAGCCTGGGGCTGGGCTGCTGCTGTCGCCGGAGCAGCAGCGGGAGCAGGAGAATGATGGGTAAAGACCTGGTCATCTGTTAGAAAAGTACAAAATGAAGAATTATGTTATTTCATTTGAAGTAGCATCTGTTAAGTCTACATGTGGTGTCATTAGCTGAACTGATCCAGACAGACACTGTGCAGGCTATGATTAACAAAGCAACTCATCATTCCCTGCATTTCAATTTAAGTGGTAATTAGGTGCATTTATGCTCAGTTTGTTTAAGCTGTAGCATGTGGTGCTGGACAATCAGCAGGGCAAGAACAGGAAGTAAAATTTTGTTTTGTTTGTGTTTGAGTGACTCCTGTAAACTCATTAACCACCACTCACATAACAACAAAATGCAGGGGCTCCAGCATAGCCTTGATGTTTATTTCCCCTGTGAATCATTCTGTGTTGACTAAGCTCTCAGTGGGCTCCAGGAAGTTTTTTGTGTTATGACTCAGACTGCTATAGCAAGCAAATATAATAACTATATATACAACAACCTACTAACAGCTGCTTTTGGCTCTGGCCGTGCTTGCAGACTGGGCTGGCGGCCAGCAGTTTTTCTAATGCCAACACTGTTATGGCCTTCGATATGACGCCCACAATTTAGGACATATCATTATGAAATATCTTTCCAATACGTACACTGTGTTTTCCTTGTTTATAGTTCATTACATGATCAGTAATTCCTCATTATTATAGGTATGGCAGTAAATTTAACTGCAGTTAAAGGTCTGCCACCATCTATGCACTTTAAACCAGAAAATAAGGCTAAAATGAAAGATGGATTAAAAGAGAGAAGCAAATGAAGAGGAGAGAAAACATCTTCACTGAGGTAAAAGAAATAAAAGACAGGGAATCAAGGACAGAAAGGGAGTATATAAAAGTAATCATAGCTCCATAGTGACAACTATTGTCAATGAACAACGAGAAGAAATCCTCCCTCTTGGTAATTTATGGTTTGTAACAGCAAAAACAGATGAAATGTGCCGGCATGAACAACCAAGGCTGCACACACACAATCACACTATGGGCAGTGGGCAAATCCACAGGCCTTGGATAGAAGCCTGCATCTTGGCTACCCCAGCCTGCAATACAAGGTTTAGATCCCGGGCATAAGAAGAGTATTATCCCCTGCTGGCTGCAGAGATAAGGTAGGAAGCCCTCCTTTCCCCTCTATTTAGCACAGCTGGGTGCTCCATGCTACAGGGTAACCACCACATCAATACAAGAGGGGGGAAAAACCTCTGAGAGGGAGAATGTAAGCTCTGTTGGTAGAGATGTAGGGCAGAAAGACGGAGAACATCTCCTTTGTGACTCCCCTCCAGCATCATCAGAGTTCTCACTTATCACCTCTTTTCTCCTTCCTCAATATCTGCCTGTGTGCCACGAGGCTTGTTTATTAGATTGGTGCTCGCTCCTCTTGAGTGAGAAGGCCTGGATCATTATAGATCCTGATAAAATCTTCATGCCCTTCCATTTATTCCCTCTGAAAGACAAGGGAGAGAAGTGAACCTGACAACATCGACATTAGCCTATATCATGGGCCTAGGCACCTGCTAAATGAAAACACATTAACACACAATATTCATAAATAAAAAGGAATGAGAATTGGATTTATTAATCTGATTTTGGCTGTACTCTCTTTTTGTATTTCACTGTATTCTATTCTTTCTGTCCCTCAATATTTTTTGGTCTCATTCACCATTGTTTTTTTTAATCTTACATTACAACTTTCTTATTCCACAACTTTCACTGCAAAATACACCTGATAAAATGATTCTCAAAAAGTACCAAAGTTGGAAAGTGTGAATTTGAAAATGCATCATAAATCATAAAATCCTGGGTGTTTTCCCGAGCAGTTGCAGTTTTCTCCCTTCAGGAGTTACAAAGATTTGAATAAAATCACTTTACTTTGCCTGTAGGCCTGAAACACTACCTTCAGTTTCTCAACGGTCCCTGAGAAACGAAAACATCTCCTCAACATCTATTGGCTTTCACTTAAAGGAAGAGCATCCTTGAACTTAAGATGAATTATGTCAATTGGGCGCAGACAAGTCAATGGGACAGGTAGCTGGGACGAGCACTACAATGACCTACTGATTTTAATTACAGCCCAAGGTGAGCTGCTGACAACCTGCATGGATGTCCTCAACTTAAATTGTATGCTATTAAATGTGATACTTGAGTGCATTGCAATCTCTGCAGAACTACTTCAGCAAATCACAGGGCTTCACTGCTGTGAGGAAGGGAGGATGAGAGTCTGAATATGCAGAAAGTAGCTTCAACACAAATGTTCTGTCCTGGAAGTGGATGATCCTCACTACCTTAACAATAAAGAGTAAATCCTAGAGAGTAATTATGTGAGTAGTTAGACTACTTTGATTGTTGTACAATAGCTTTACAGTATAATTACTATAATATGTGTACGCAAGAAGGAGAGATTTCCCTACACAAAAGTTGTAATTGAAAAGAAGAGGAAAATATTTTTTTAAAAAGTGCTTACTGGCACATTTTTAAAGGTTACAACAACCGTAACAAGAATTCGTAAAAATTCCTTAATTACAAAGCCAATACACAAGGACAGACACTGATACACACAAGATATACACAAGGCTTACCAATGCTACATATGCAGTGTATTTTTTACTGGTGTTTACTGGTGTTTACACATGCAGCGTGTGCAGTGCAGGGAGGAGAGATGAGTTCAGCAGGAAGATACTGACGTTACTTAAGCGTTAATTGCTTTGCACTTCAAAGCATGTCATTCCCAGAGGGCCAAGCAGCACTGAGACACCATACATATGTATTAATAGGGATTACGATAAGGAAGCCTGGCACATCACAACACTATGCTGATCAATTCTGTGTGTGCAGTTTTGTGTGTGTTATCTGTGAGTGTACATGTATGCATCTCCGTGTATTTTTGTTTTGCTGTGTGTCTGGGTTATCACACTCATGAAGGCAGTAGATCAAATGGGAGTGATAAATGGCACAGCCTTCGAGTGGTGTGCAGGATGATGTGCTAATTTCATATTTCAGTATTCCAGTGACAGTCGAGCTGTAATATAAGTCTGACTTCAGCAGTCAGAGGTGGTATCTGAATCATCTGAATTAGAAATTTGCTGTGTGTGGAGAGAATGTGTGAGCAAGCTTTTATTTTATTTATTTAGTTTTGTAGATGGCAGCCTTCTGGAGCAGAAAAACATCCCCTCAGAATATTTCTTGAAGCCCTCCAATCAGATCAGCCAAAATTAATCTCAGAGAATACATTTTAATGAGCTGCCTTCATCTCACGCCAATTTTGTTTGGTTTTTTTGGGTGTGGAGGTGTGTGTGTGTGTGTGTGTGTGTGTGTGTGCAGCTCTCTAGTGTGTCAAATTTTGGTACTGTAGCTCAAAAGAGGCCATCTCCATCTGGCACTGGAGTTGTTTTCTTTGAGGATGCTGCTCAAAAACACAACGGAAGGAAATGCATTATTTACATGCGTTACCTTGGCTTTTCTGATTGGTCGCTGGGCTGACAGGTTGAACTGGCTGGCTGAAGATAAGTGTTGATCTCTGACCTTGACCAGGTCCCCTGGCCTTGGCCGAGCACGTAGTCGTCCTGGTGACAGCTCCCAGGCCCAGACGCAGACCTCTACCAGAGCGCAAGAGACTGCTGCTCCCTCCAACCTGAGTGGCCGTCCGGGTCTGCAGCGGGTCCTCAGCAAGGCTTCCTTTAAAACTGGCAGATCTTCCCACCTACAGACCAAAACAATCACATTAACTAAAATATACTATTAAGTAATTATCTTATTCTATTTTTGGAGTTCTGAACCATGCATATTTTTACATAGACCGTGTCAGTTCTTTTTGAATAATAGTTTTTTAACATATACAGTCCCATTCTACAGTGTTCATTTTCCTTTTTCCAGAGAAAATCCAGTGATTCTGTCCTCTAGACCCCCCAAAATTTGTGAAGAACCAATAATGTACCCTGGGAAAGAAAATAAAGTATTTCAAGAAAAGGGTTAAATTTTATGTCAATAGTGATAACACTGGGAGCATTCAACAAATTGTAACTTTTTTTTAACGCATGCATGTTTTTTCTGTGACTGTAAATACTTTGTTAAGCTTTTACAGATGTGAATGATGTTTGTCATATTAAGGTCATGAGCACCTATTGGGATTTTCTGCTGTTGTTCGCTTACATGCTAATGTGTTTACCAGCAACGTCTGCCTGCCATGACATGTTTAATGTTCTATATTTTGCCTGGGATATCATGAACAGGCTGGGCAGGAAAACATTTGATGTTCTCCATAATCTTAATTATTAAACATTACATTTTACATTGTATTTATATAGACTCTTTGTTATTAAACATTATGTATGAACAAAACACATAATTAGAATATGATATGGATGATCGTGTGACTAGATAGCAATATCAAGAACTTCTACTCCTAACTGTAATGGTTTGCAATACTGCAACGTCTTAACAGATCTGGTTTAGGCTATGAGTAGAAGTAATAAAGAGTCTGACGAAATGTGGATCACTGCAAATCTGACATTATTAGCTCTAAAAGAAAATATAACAGACCTGCAGAGAAACTGAGATCCAGAAATCTTAACTGTTTAACATCACCAGTGTAAATGTTGTCTCCTCAATGGCATAGATGTATACAATGTACATGCAGTGACATACAAAGTGTTGTCCCTGTGGGCTTTGTACTTCAAAATGCTATTAATTATTTATTTCCACATGCTGGTATTTGATGGTGAATATGAATGCCAAATTAAGCTATTTAATCAGAATCAATAAGGAATGATTTGAAAGCGATAACGAGCAGCTCTTGTGAGAGTGGGAATAAAATGCAGAGGAGCTGTGATCAATTATACATGTTTCACTGTGGGATAGAGGTTATGGACATCATCTAGCAAAACTGATATGCAGAGTCAACTAATTTAACAGAAAAAGATTTGTTTTTGTGCTTAATCACATATTGTATATCAGAAAGTAATTATCTCCTGCTTATTGATATGAGCCATCCTAATTAAATCCTACTTCTGTAATTTCTTCACTGTGTGTGGATGTGCTGTGATAGAGGATTGTGCTGAATCTCAGCATGATGGAAAGTTCTTTGTTGAATGAAGATGAGCAAAATACCAAACTCCAACAGAAATTACAATACAAGCGTCATTATCCTGAGAAATATTTATGACAAAAAGCTTGAGCTCACATACTTAGTGAAGACTGCACATAATGCTCACCTCTGATGGTGCCCCATAGAAATTGTCTGCTTTGCTGCCCAGTTTTGGGGGTGCCGTGTGGCTGTGTGTGTGTACATGTGGAGTGGCATGTGTGTGTGCAGGGGGGACAGTATGTGTGTGTCCAGGGGGCCTGATACTCCTGCTCAGCATTCCTGATGGGAAGATGTTTGTATGCATCTCTTGGTGGTACTTGTCATAAAGCAGATTGGAGGCACTGAGCACTGGCGCTCCTCTGGTTTCTGCTTCAGGCTTGGAGGGGTCTTTGAGAGATGTGGGTGTTTGGCCGTGTGCGTATGCTGATAGCCTGGATGGTAGAGAGGATACCTGATAAGGTCCGTCCGCAGCCTGGGACTTAAACTGAGGATTCTTTCGGACATAGGTAATGATTTTGGGCCGAACTCCTTTAGGTTTAAGTTTAGGTGATAGGGAGCTCTCTTTGGGGCTTGAGTTGTGGTTAGAGCTCTGCTGGTTGTTAAGAGGCGCTTTGGGGATTCCACTTGTGCTTATATTGGTTTTGACTGGTGCTCTTAAGCAACTGTTGCCACAGGCCTGAGCTGATGTTGTTACAGCAGGGTTGCATCCTGACGGGATGTGTCTAACCACTCCAGAGACATTCCTGGAAACGAGGTACATGGAGGGTTGCCTGCGTGGTGATCCTTGGGGTGTCCTGAGAGGGGAGTGGGGAGGGGTAGATGACCTGGAATCCACCCCTGTCCTGTTGGGACTGGAGCAATTTCTCCTGTATGTGAGCTGAGTCTGGGGTCTCCTCTCTAAAGTGTAAGGATTGGAAGGACGCCATGCCTTTGTAGTTGGCTGTTTTTCTGCAGGTGGAGCCTCCCTCTGGGCTACCTGGTTGGGCTCTCTGTGCTGTGAGACTCCAGATGTGTTATACAGGGAGGAGAAATTTGATGGTTCACGTAAAGATGTTTTTGTAAACTTCCTGTTTGACCAGTTAATGCGTGAATCTTGCGAGGGGTTGTGGGGAAAAGGTTGCCCTGTCTCAGCTTGATCAGCATTGGGCTCTGCTAAGCTCCTCGCTTTTCCCATCTCTGTCTGACAGAGGGGTCTGACGAGCTGTTGCCGTCGTGGTGGCATCACCCTCTCTTCAAATCCAGCCTTCCTCCTTTGGCCCAGCCCCCCATCAGAGGACACTCCATTTCTATGATGACTTCCCTCCTCCTGTCTCTGATCCTGGCTGTTGTATTGAGGATGTTTCTCCTGAGGATGCGATGGTGGGGAGTTCTGGTTGGCGTCTACAGGGGCTGTCTTTCTTTTGGTCTGGTCTGAGGTAGTGTTGTTTGTATTGGGGTTGGTCTTGGAGTTGGACAGAGAGATGAGAGGCTGCGCTACTCCACCACTATCCAGAGCACTGGACAGGCTCCCGCTGAGGGAAACGGCTGACAGACTAGAGAAAAAAACATTTGTCTCAGACTTGGACTGCTTCAGACCTCCCTTCTGTCTGTCCCTGTCTGCTGCTCTGCCTGACCTGGTGTCTCTTTTCTCCATTGAACCTGTCACACACGTGTCTAGCTCTTCATTGCTATGACAGGCAATCCTTTTCTGCACCTCTTTGCCCTTTCTGTTCTCCACTTTGTTGCTGTCGTTGTCATTTCTCCTCACTCCAATCGAAGCAGAGCTGGCAGTTGAGCTTGAGGATATGGACATGGAAACCTCATTTCCATCTCTCATACTTCCTCCATCATCTTCCTCCTCATTCTCCTCGCCCTGATCCCTGTTTCCCAAGAATGTATGTATCTCCTGACACTCCAAAAGCTCAAACTCAGGCTCCATGCATTGCTGCTCAGAGCCCCAGATCACTAACTTGTCCGGGGATTCACTCTGAGAGACCAAAGGAGGGATGGAGTTTGAGCTGTACGCTGTGTCCTCCATCAGTCCTCTTCCTTCTTGATCAACAATTGAAGATAATTGATTGGCATTATCATCCCCAGACTGGGGGAACTGGACCTGGGTTTTGTTTCCAATCTTTTCTCCTCTGTCATTGACCCTCAGTCCCTGGAAACCGGTCGGGATGCTCATGTCGAACTGATTCTTTTGGCACACTCAAAGACACCTGCAGAGTCCAGAGGCCATCTATTTAGTTACAAATGTTCCTTCCCTCCCTGTCTCTCCTCTTCAGGGTCTGTGTGATGATGGCCCTTCAGTTGATTTTTCCAAGGACGAAATGTCATCTCAAGAAATCTTTTTCGCTTATCTTGCATTTACTGTGAGTTAACAACGTTGTATTTGATGGCTCTTCAGGGAGATGGAGGTCTGTTCAATCTGAAAAGATAAAACAACAAAGGAAACTGTAAAGTGGGGGCAACAAGTATGCCTGAAATGCAGCATCACATTTCAGCTACAGTCAGCTGTGCATTGCCCACAGGCTTTTGCTCTTTATTTGTGGGACTCATCTTAACAAATGGTCATTTGAAATGATATGAACAGTACTGGCTGCCCATGGGACAAAAAGGAAATGGAGGCTTAACAGGAAGTGACAGTCTTGGAGCTAGCTTGTTTCTACTTTAAATGCATTCATGTCCATTCATGTTTTCATTTAAGCAGCTGCTGAATCAAAATATTTTACATTAAATATGTGGACTTGAGCGTAAAATTTGATGTGACCGGTGGCCAAAAACGTTGAAGAATTATTGTAAGCCAGGTTCGGAGACTGATGAAGACTTAACATAGCATGGTTTATAGAGCCCGGCCGAGGAGATATAGTGCCAGCATGCAACATGTGAACACGTCAAATACCAACACTAAATCTGAAGGATAACATCTTTTGGTCACTTTTAGGTTTAGGTTTCCCTATTAGGTCATCTTTAGCTGGCCTTAACCTAGAACAACTAATCTATCTGATGTTTAGACTCCAATGCTTCGTCATATTGGAATCTATCACTATCCATGAGTTGTACTCTAATCTGTGGAACCAGTGAGTTCTTGTAAACATTCTTGTAAGACTCAACCTTGTAATCAGAATCAGAAGGAGCTTTATTGCCAAGTAGTGTTTTACACATACGAGGAATTTGCTGTGGTGATAAGGTGCTATACTTTGACGAACATACATTCGACATAAATAAATGTAGAAATATATAAATATGGAATAGAAGAACAACATGGCAGATACAGAATACATTTGCATTATTCTGGGTCTGTGCCGTGCAGAAGTAATGCAGAGAGAGACAACACTAAGAGAACTAAGAGAACACTGATATATCCTAGCCTGACACCTGAGCTACTGTCTCTATCAGTCTATTGTTGTCTCCCTAACAAGGACAGTTACAGAGAAATAACTAGAGCTGGAAGGTCAGATACATTTATGGTGTCAGCTAAATTACTCTAAGCTAGACCTGTCTTACCTTTCCTTGTTACATCTACAAAGCCCTTTATGAAATATTCTCAACAAAAAACACTCAAATAGTAATAATGTTAATGTTATAACCAGCAAGAGTAGTACAACAATTATAATAGGAATGCAATTATCAAATAATGATAGTTCACTGTAGGGCAGAAAGAAAAGAGATAGAAGAAGTGGAGGATAGCTGAGGCAACACACTGTTTATAATAAAGTGAAGGAATCACTCTGGGGATGCCTGATGAAGGAACAAGTGAGGGAAGGGTGCAAAGTGTTTTGTAATGAGCTTTTTTTCTCAAGAGACACTGAAAAATAGAAGGCAGAATGAGAATCAGGGGGAAAAGTCTGCAATAAAAGTATGTTCCAACCATTTTGCTTTTATAGAATATACAGCACAAGCAAACAGTCTCTAATATGCTGAAATGCAAGCATGTTTGCAACAAGAAAACATGAAAATTATGTGCAGGTGTTGTAATAGGCGAGGAGTGAAAACATCACTTCAGAGGGGATAAATCTGTACTGTAGGTCTGATCGCTACAAGAGGTGTTAACTGCTCTTCTCTCAACATGTGTTCTCTAGCATGCCACATGGTTAATTAAGCCAATGCCACGATTCAAACGCACACAACAACAGCACATCCTGCTTCATTTAATCACAACATTCTGCAGGAAGTAGGAAAAAGTGAGATTAAAATTGTTGGATCGCTCTGAGTAGACACCATTTCAAAGTAGCTGACTGCATGTCGTGCCATGTACAGTCAAGAGATGAGCAGATGGCCGAGAGGGTAAATGTCTGAGAGCTTTTGTCAAACCATGTCACTGCAGGGCGGTTGCAGGGCAGTTTAATCAGAGCGACATAAATAGAAAATCATGACAATGGATCAACAAAACCAAGAAGTTAGTGACTCTGACAACATGAAATGACTTGTGTTTTTGCTCTCAGAGGAAAGACTTCTGTGTCTCTCTTTACATATCAACCTCTCCATAATTATGCAAGCGCTCTATGAGGAATTCTCCCTCTGCCTTGAACCAAAAGCATCAAAACCACAGAATATTAATGAACTCAGTTCCATTTGCTCAGCAAATAGTCACAGCCTATTTACGACATCATACTCAACATTTAAACAAAAGTTATATCTCAATCATATTCTATCAAAACTGTCAGGTAAATGTATCCAGTCATCACTCTGTGTAGGCAGTAAATATTGTCTATTTAGACCAAACCATCACACTGAATATTTGAGTAGTTTCCAAAGTTCAAACAGAACTCCAATCCTCTAATTATATGTGCAGCGGGGGAGTCTTTTCTCATTAGCAGGTGCCTTCTCCCTGTGTCCTGTGGCAGCGACATCAGTGAACAGAGTCAACTGCGATGATGGCAGCTCTAAATGCCTGTGGCACATCTGAGGCTGCTCCAATCGGGTGCACGTCTACATTTTTGTCCAAATGCACTGGCAGGGGAAACATTCAAGGATATGATTTGTATTCCTTAAGGATGTCTTAAAATTAATTTGGATAAATTATCATATTTTCCTGAAAAGTCTGTTAAAAGAACATTTCACATAACCTTTGGGAACACTGTGAGCTGAATAAGTTTAAAGAAGGGTTGTTTTACTTAAGGACTGAAATATCAAAACTTTTAACACTATGTTCACTTGCCACTGTATCACATTTTATTTTATAAAATGATGAGATATTGGTTGAAATAAGTATTTATTTACAATACTGGTGATATTCTGCTTCAGATCAGACTTTGCTGAGAGACAGAGGGGGGAATTCAATTGTGATAGACAAATAGACAAACAACATGTAGCATAATCCACACACTGTCTTCTGTACTCTGCCTCTGTGCACACTGCTAATATTTACCCTTGGTTGATGCACACAATCAAATAATTAGCTAATTATAAAGCACACTGAAAAAATTTAAAGAGGAGTGAAAGGAGAGGGATGGGAGAGGGAGAGAAAGAGACAGAGAGTCATATTAGAGAGTGGGAGAAGAATTCCCCCGAGAGGACATGGTGGCACATCAATTATGGCACTGATGTAGCACTGGAGGTTGTGCTGATGACAGCAGTCTTGGGAGGCTGAGGGCCAAGCTTGGTCACAGTGGCCGAGCCACATCAAGCTGCACATCACCTCACAGCGAGGCAGACAAAACCAATTGGGCAAAACCCTAAACATAATATGACAGAGAACAAAAGAACCTGTCTGACTTTGTGAATAAAAAAGACCTGTTGTGATGATAAAAAAGCATAATAAATGAGGTGTATTTCGGGTCGCTTCAGGAGACACGCCTTTGAGGAAAGAAACTTGACAGCTTCTCCTTGCTGTCGCACTCCCTCATGTTGGTGGCATACCTACGAGATGCTAAAAGTAAAGAGGATCACATGGGAGTGAGCGGATGAAGCAGGGCTGATGTTGGTGAGGGGCTGGCTTGATGTTTTATTTTGACTGGAATATGAATTATGCAATTACACATGTAAAACCCCAAAATGGATATACGAGGAACTTTGATCAGCAAGCCCTTTCTCTTTAAGCAGAGGAAATAAACAGGGACCATTTTTGGCTTTGTGAGTTGTGTATGCACGGCTTCCAATAGTACAAGCAAATACTGTAGATAAATTTCATTATTTCTTAGGTAGTTATACACAGTGAATAACCTGATGATGATGTTGTAACTGGTACTGATTTAGACTTTTTGATGGAATTCAGAGCATACCAGAGAGGACAAGTAGCACACTGAGTTGATCGGGGCTGGAATATGTAATGAAGGCAGGCTTTGTTTCAGCTGACGGTGAGACCCACTTCATGTAAGTACTCAGTCTGACCCGCTCTGGAGGAACAGCAGGAGGCAAAACCTAAGAAAAAATGTAACTGCCCTGCTTCTGTTGTCATGGCAATGCCATATCCATGGGAATTGGAGAATACATATCCTGACCCCTGCTTCCGTCAGGAAAAAAGGCCAGCGTCAGAAAGAGACAGACTGTTCTGAAGGTCAGCTTTATGCTTTCACACTAACAGCTCAGGCATACATTCTGCTGTGCAACACTTTCACGTGGGACGTCACACCCATGGATATATGCCACCACAGTAACACATAGTGCACACAGTTTTTTCTCCCCACCAGGTATATACAACTCATCTAGGAGCAATCATCTCTCTGCAATTGGGTAGATGCAGGATAAGACGATATCTCAGTAGTGATCAAATTCAGTGAAGGACTGGAATTTGTGGTTTTCACCAGGCTCCTAACCTATCAGGTGCTGCATTTATCCACAAAAAGCGGAGAAGGTGGGAAATGACGAGCTGAGAAGATGATGAGGGACTCACTGGAAATGGAGGGATAAATAAAATCTAGAGCGGAGTGGAATTGGAAAAGAGAAAAGGCCTTCCTCATCCTCCTTTCTCTCTGAAAGCAAGCAGTTCTGTGTGGGTGAAAGAATGAGACACACAGACATGAGGTGGGAGAGATGAGACGTGCAGATGGATACAGAAAGGAAGAGGGTTGTCGCGGGAGAGCTACAGCTTTCTTATTAGGCGGGTAGAAGGGAATACATCATTTTTTAAACCTCTATAGTACAAGCTATAGAGCCCCGTTTCTGAAGTGACTTACTGATATAAGCCTAAGAGATCAGGGTAAAGTAATTATTGGAAATCCTTTGCCATATATAATGCTAATGAGCTCTATATTGCTCCCATTGATGAAACTTGCATGTATTTCCATTTTCTAAATTTCTGCAGGTAGTAAATAGAAGCGCAGATTTTATGAGGTATTAGTGGATTGTCCTATCCTATTTGTTTTGATATTTAACACTGTGGTTTTTGAAACAGCTGCCTGGAAGAAACGTCCCAACACAACAAGCCAGGCATCATGTTATTAATCTGAGAGACAGTGACACATCTGATCTCATGATTATCAGGCT